ATTAAGGAAACTGGTGACTGATGTGGTAAACTCCTCAATGCCATCGGCTGAATCCTGGATCGTATTCCATTCTATGCTAGAAAAACAGTCCTGTAGCTTAGCATCCGCTTCATCGGACCACTTCCGTATTGAGCGTGTCACTGGTACTGCCTGTTTGAGTTTTTGCTTGTAAGCAGGAATCAGGAGGATAGAGTTATGGTCAGATATGCCAAATGGAGGGCGAGGGAGAGTTTGTATGTGTTTCTGTGTGTGGAGTAAAGGTGAGCTAGAGTTTTTACGCCTCTAGTTGCACAGGTGACATGCTGGTAGAAATCGGGTAAGACGGATTTAAGTTTTCCTGCATTCAAATCACTGGCCACAAGGAGCGGCGCTTCTGGATGAGCATTTACTTGTTGGCTTATGGCCCTATACAGCTTGTTGAGTGCGGCCTTAGTGCCAGCATCATTTGTGGTGGTAAATAGACAGCCATAAAAAATATAGACAAACTTTTAGTAAATAGTATTGTCTACAGCTTATCATGAGGTATTCTAACTCAGGCGAACAGAACCTCGAGACTTCCTTAGATTGCGCACCAGCTGTTGTTAACACACAAGCTGTTGTTAAGAGACACACACCACACGCCTTGAGCTTACCGGACTCTGCCGATGCATAGAAAAACTAGCTAGATATATATAATGTATATAGATGTATGTATATCATCCATTTAGGCCTTTGCAGCTGTAATTAAAAAGTTACTCATACAGTATGTCATCACTAGTGTGTTGATTGATTAATTCCAGTCAATCATTTTGGATTGATAAGGTCTAGGCAGCCTAGTCACCCGAAGTTTTGAACATAAACCAAATTTATCACATTCACATTGTCTCTTAACACAAATAAATAGGCCTATTTTAGGCTATAAATAAAGTACGTAGCTTAGGCTATAAATATATGACGTTACCGCTTCGTTTCCCCTGGCCAGAGGGGATCAGAGCTCATAGGGTTTCTCCAGGCTACCTGCAGCTGTGGTTGTTATCAGTAGGCTATAGTTGATCAGACTATAGCACAGATTAATTGTGCACAAGTTGACAAATCATGAGGCAAAGCAGTCTAAACAACAGTACTTTGTCCCTCCTTTTCAACGCTTTTGTGTCAATGTTTTTTATTCAACCGAATCAAAAGCATGGGGGGAAATGTCAGCTCGCCACGCGTTTGCCTGCGACCCTGCTGTACTGATCTCTGCAACGTGGAAAGATGGAAATCACCACACAATGCTACAAATGAAGGTCCTAACTGCCAAAATAATGGAAACAGTTGAGTAAATGAGGGATACAAAGTATATTGAAAACAGGTGCTTCCACACAGGAGTGGTTCCTGAGTTAATTAGGCAGTTAACATCCCATCGTGCTTAGGATCATGTATAAAAATGCTGGGCTCTATTCTAGTGAACATGTTGTGTTGTTGCGCCATCCCTTACGAAAAAAGATTGCAGTCAGGGTGCAGTATAACTGCAGTATGCTGCAAATACTGCTTCCAAAATAAGTTTTAAAAGATGTACCCCCCCTTTTCATCATATCCAATTACAATTTTGTCTCATCGCTGCAACTCCCCAACGGGCTTCGGCGAAGGTCAAGTCATGCGTCCTCGAAACATGGCCTGCCAAACAGCGCTCCTTAACACGGAAGCCAGCCGCAGCAATGTGTCAGAGGAAATTGACCACCGAGGTCAGCCTGCAGTCACCCGGCCCACCACAAGGAGTCACTAGAGCGCCATGAGCCAAGTAAAGCCCCCCGGCCAAACCCTCCCCTAACCAGGGCGACGCTGGGCCAATTGTGCACAGCCCTTTGGGACTCCTGGTCATGGCCAGTTTTGACCTGGGATCGAACCCGGGTCTGTAGTGACACCTCAAGCACTGCGATGCAGTGCCTTAGACCACTGCGCCACTTCGGAGGCCCATACGTTTTTTTTACTTCAGTAAATGAAAATGTTACTGCAGTTACAGTGCAGTATAACTGCAGTTCAACAACAGTAGTACACAGTTATTCTGCAAAAAATACCACAGTAGATTGCAGTGCCTACTGCACTTTTACTGCAGTTTCAAAACTGCAATATATTTTTTGTAAGGGATGCCTTACTTTAACACAAAGTGCTTACCCACAATTGTTGCATTTTCTTGTTAAAATTAGCATCGCAATAGATTAACTGTAGCCTAATACGGTTTGTGTAGGCAAACGTATCTTCTAAAGCTAATTTCCTGCATTTCTACACAATCTAATATGACCCTTTTGGGTTCACTTTTATTGCTAAATGACTCAAATGTAAATTGTAAATAAGAATATCATATAGTTCTAAACACTTCTACATGAATGTGGATGCTACCAAGATTATGGATAATCCTGAATGAATCGTGAATAATGACTAGTGACAAAATTATAGATGCACAAATATAGGGCCTCCTGTAGCTCAGTTGGTAGAGCATGGCGCTTGCAACGCCAGGGTTGTGGGTTCGATTCCCACGGGGGGCCAGTATGAAAAATGTATGCACTCACTGAAACTGTAAGTCGCTCTGGATAAGAGCGTCTGCTAAATGACTAAAATGTAAATGATATCATACCCCCCCCCCCCCCCCCCCACAAAAAAAAATGCTAAGCTATCTTATTAGTGTAATGGTGAGAGGTTAGCATGTCTTGGGGGTATAATATTTGTGCGTCTAACTTTCTCACTCATAATTATTCACGATTCATTCAGGATTATCCGTAATCATGGTAGCATCCACATTAACTTAGAGACGTTGTGTCCAAAATTACACAATACATTATTTACCATTCATTTCTATTGGGCACAAAATAATCTGAAACGCAACCAAAACAAACAGCAAATGCTTCCAACAAATTTGTAGAGTCACAAGCTTGATGTAGTCATTGCGTGCTATGAATATGGGACCAAATACTTAACTTTTTACTACTTTAATACACATAAGGGAATTTGTCCCAATACCTTTGCAGCCCTAAAATGGGTGACTATGTACAAAGTGTTTCTAAACGGTTCACCCGATATGGATGAAATTACACTCAAATGAAAGCTGACCATCTGCACTTTAACTTCATAGTCATTGTTTGATTTAAAATCCAAAGTTTGAGTATAGCGCCAAAATAAGAAAAAATGCTTCACTATCCCAATAATTACGGAGGGCACTGTATTTCATATCATAGGCCTAATAGTACTGTGGAGCTCCGTCCTGCCCCTAGGGGTCCACCGCCCTGCAGCGCCCCAACCCAACACACCCGACTCAGCTTTAGGATCTTAGTGAAACATTAGTTATTGGTTTCAGGTGCGTTAGGCCAAGGCCAGAGTGAAAACCAACAGTACGGCAGACCCCCAGGGCCAGGACTGAGCAGCCCAGCAGCTAGGGATTGTCTTAATAGGTATCTCCCCTGACAAGGGCATGTTTTCAATACAGACTCTTTTTGTCATACAGTATTCCATATAAGGCATCCAAACCGTATGAAAGTTGCACAGTATACCCATAATCTTGTAATAAATATAATCTATTGATACATAACTTGACATTACTGCCATCCATTGTGACATTGTGGGAGGATAACCAACCTTCCAATGAATGGCAATACATTTCCTAGCCGCCATAAACACTAGGTTACACAGTTTCTTCTGATGTCTCCAGTATCAACATTTCTAAGCAAAGAAAAACAGGGAGAAGGGAGAGTCTGTAGACATTCTGAGATAAAATAACATACTATTTGCCAGAATTCAGTCAGCCTTCACAAGAGCATAACATATTGAAATATGTCCCCTTTTGTGTTTTACACCTCCAGCAGAGGAATTACATTTCTGAATGCATAATATTCAGTTTCACTGGCATATAGTACATTCTATGGATGGTCTTAAACTTCAGTAATTTAAGTCTGAGATTATATGAACATGACTGGGCATTCAAACATATCTGTATCCATTCATCAATCATCATCAGTCTCCCAGGTCTTCCTTATATTTTTGTTTGACATGTTTAGTGTCATCGGGAAAAGCCTCTATCAACCCTTGATACAGTTTGTAAATCAACTTGAGGTTTGTCAGACTGCCTTAAAATAGTTTCAATCTTTGAAGCTTCTGGCTTGTCCAGTGTTTGCTGCACCGCGAGAATAAAGTGTTGCATCTGCAATCGTTCACCTCAGTGCCGTCACAGACTGATCCTGCTCAGATGAGGCATGACAAATAATTACCTTGGTGTACATTTATACATTTTATTATCCAATAATAGAAGCAATGGTTCAATAATTGAAATGACAATTCTTCCCAGATCCCAGACTGTAGTCTGCCCATCAACTCAAGATGGAACTTTGTATCCATTCACTGATTGTTATAATATACTGCAAAATTCACCTTAGCTCAGTAGACTGGTCTTCCCTGGCTGTCTGACACTGCTGGGACACCTGTCACCATCTGATCCTGCTAAGACGTGATGAGCATAGTGTTGTGTACTGAGTGTGCACCATGACAGTGAAGCCTGTAGAGCTGTTTACACTGTGTCAGTGTGAAAGCTAGGGAAACTGACAGAACAATAACGTTACATTGCTATACTGACTGTGAGGATAAAAAATATCTAACGTTAGCCAACTTTTAGTTAGCTCTAATGGTACATCAACTGGCGGAAACAAGCCAAGTTAATTTACTTCTGTTGAAACGGGACAAAACAAAAGCTAAAAAACATTTTACATACACACAACAGCTGTTAGATACTGCTACCTGACAGATCGCTAGAGGCTAGAGCTGAACTGGCTGTGGTAGCTAGCTACTAGCTAGCTAGCTAGTTCATTCACTTCAGACAGAACTTCAGTCGAGAGGGGATGAAACATTAGCTAACGTTACATGTCAGTTACACTACTAGCTCAGCACTGGGAATTTTTTTTTCTTTTTCTGTTAAGTCAAACAGCAGTTACCTTGCCAGCTACATCAGTCAAATAAACAGTAGCCATTTTCTGCTCTACTTGCTTTTACAACTACAAATGCATGAACTGGTTTATGAAGTTACTTTCTATTCTACCATTTGCTTATCTCCGCAGCCCATTTGCCAAGCTGCCTACGATAACGACCTTCGCAAGGTGTACCACATTCTAAAAGAGGATGCCAAGACTTTAAAGGTTCAAGATGGGGAATCTGGCGATACACCAGTCATAGCTGCCTGCAGATGTGGAAACATCAGAATGGTCAAGTACCTTTTGGACCTGGAGGCAGATGTAGCTATAAGGAACAAGGTAGTGGAAATGCAGTTCTGAGACATTTGGACAGTAGTTGTGTAACTTTGTAACTGTATTGATGCTTGTTTCTATGACTACCAAATACACAAACAGTAGTTATTAGTTATTATGTCACCATGTCATTTATATGTAAATACTTGGTAAAAAAGGATACTATCAGACCAAGCGTGTCCTTTACTTCACTGTAATTGTAGTTACCTACAATGGAAATGAGGATGTTCCTCACCTAGGTGATGCAATTGAATAAACGATACAGAAATGTTCGTGTTACCAATGAGGAGAATGCCAAAACTGGGCGTCTTGTGAAACGTGTGGCACTGATCCATGCTCTCTCTCCCTGTCTGCCTGTAGAAACAGAGGACATGTTTGCACTCTCCTGCAAAGAGGACCTTCTCCTTCCTGGATTACCTGATGATCACTATCCTCATGCCAATTCTGTTGATTGGATACCTCATTCTGGTAGGATATAGTTTGAAACGCTGACATTAGAATATAGTGGCGCAAATTCTTAAGTCTCTCCTCATCAGTCAAGGCTCCCAGACCAGCCACACAAACTACACTGTAAGAGCAATAGGATCTGTGGTATAAACCTTCCTCCTCTCAACAGGTAGACAAGCAAAGGAAGAGTGTGAAACTAATGAATCTGGTTTTGAGCACTAAAGTGGAGGTTGGCGCTGTGGACTATGTGAGTACTGAGATGAAGTATATAGTTGAGTATTAGAACAATGAGCGACTGATCATTCTCTGTGACTTATTTGACCTGTGTGTTCACTGTGCATTTCAGCAGGGAAACACTGGCCTTCACTACGTCTGTCAGAGGAAGAGTTACAGACTCGTTCCACTGTTACTGGAGAAAAAGGCAGACGTTTCTATAAAAAACTAAGTATGTATGAGGTCACTTTTGCAAAGTGCATTATGGTAAGCTTATTCATCACTTCTCTAACCTGCTTGACGCCTCTGATAAAGCATAAGAGGACATTTTATGTTACTATTTCACTAAGCTTTGGTGGTAATATGATGTATTCTCCTGTCCTTTATGATGATGAGACCCCACTGGATATAGCAAGGAGACTGCAGTTCAAGGAGATTGTTACAATGCTGACGGGGTTGCAGACAGTGGGGAATTTTTCACCATGGCAACATCGCCTTCTCGCCAGGTGTCTTTTGTCTGACTAAGGAAGGATCTCTGTTCATATGTATACGGTTTATGGTAAGTACTGGACACTTTGGCCTCAGCTGTCTATCAACCATTTGTTAAAGTTCATACCAATATAAGCGGCCAAGAAATTGTTTTTAGTCTCATGGTTGAACTTCTTTGAATTATGATGACATTATTCATTTAATGTATACTATTCTTTTTCTTACGAGTATGCGTCTCAAAATATTTTGCAAAATGAATGTAAATTAGAAACGAATGAGTTCCTGGTGTTGATATTGTTCATAGGAGTAAGTGAATTACAACATTGTTACAGATTAAAGCATTCTATGAGTAGATACTCTTTTCAATAAATGTCAATAAATTGAATTGTACAACAGATTTAATGGATTTGAGTAGTTGGATCCACTAGTTACAACGCAGCATATATTAGTTTTATAACACAACAGTAGTAGAAAATGAATGAACAAACACGTCAGTCATTCTTTGGTCGGCACCCTTCCTTACCTAAAGATCCAATAAAAATACATTGAGGAAGTAACAAAATGACAAGTATCAGTATGACAGGTAAACCCAAATTGACTGTGTTTGATTAAAAAGGCACAGGAACATTAACCAACACAACACTGCAATAAAGTCCTGGTGATGACAGTTTGAAAAGTGCAAGTTCTATAGAGAGAGAGGTACTGTATGTTGAACTGGACCCTGGACCTTTATCATGATAACGTACCAATGACTGAGCTACATTCAAAACCTGCATCTCATATTCGATTATAACCTGTAATGTTTGTTACTAGTATGTTTTCACAGACCTGGGGCCTCATGTACAAAGACTTGCGTTGAATTCATACTAAAACATTGCGTACGGACAAAGCCATAAATGTGCGTACGCACCCAAAAAATCTGATGTATGAATCTCTGCGTACGCAGCATTCCACATACATTCTCTTTGTACATCCCAATCAACGCGAAATTGAGTGCACATGCACGAGCACCACACCACACCCTGTCTCCTCCCTCAATTCAATCAATTTAAATATGGTAATTAGTCCAATTTGGCAAAAGAAACCTGCAAGAACATGGCTAAAGCAAGCAAGAAACGAAATTTCACTGAAAACGAATTAGAGGTGCTACTATCAGAGGTAGAAACAAGAAAAAATATTTTATTTGGAAATCTGTCCTCTGGAATTAATAACAAAAGAAAGAAAAAAGAGTGGGCGAGTTTGTCTGATGCCGTCAACGCGGTGGGATCTGAGAGTCGCACCGTAAATGAACTGAAGAAGAAATGGTCAGACATAAAGGTGGAAGTTAAGCGGAGAACTGCTGCGCACCGACAAAGTGTGGGCAGAACAGGCGGTGGTACAGGGACCGATGAACTTGCACCCTTTGATCAGAGAGTTGCCTCTATTGTAGGAGACACGTTAATCTCTGGAATCGTATCCGCTGATGTAGGAGACTCGGATATACTACAGGACTGCCAGCAAGGTGACTCAGATTTATTTCCTTAACTTTGATATACATAGCCAGCCACCGTTTAATTTTAAAATGCATGCAATATAGCAAAAGGTACACCAGAGATTTCACGTATCCACTGCTTTTATTGCAAATGCGTGTACCCATTAATAAGGAACAGACTCAAATTACTGTTAAGATGTGCCTGTGTTTAATTGGACTTAGGAACCGCAGGAACGTCCACTGGCACGCACTCAGAGTCCGCACCACCTGAGCAGCCAGAGCCCATTCAGTCCAGCGTCTCCCGTGTCTCTAATGTTCCCCCCAGTGCTGAAGCCCGTCCATCTGGCCGTGTCTTGACGCATGCTGTTCTGGAGTCACAACAACAAATTGTTAGGGCCATTGAAGAAATGAACAGTCACCTTAAAAATGTCACTGACGCACTCACAGAAATAAGCCATTCATTAAAATAATTGGTCAAAAAATGAACTTTGTGTCTGAGTACCATTTATATTGTCGCAATTACACGTTGACGGGCCTGAATGGCTTGTTGATTGTGCTGCACATATACTGGTCCTGGGTCAGGGTCATCTGGCAGGGCCCCCACCTCACCAAGGGGTATGCCATGCCTGTGCGCGACATTGTGCAGCACTCCACAGGCCAGTATGATGCGGCAAACCTTGTCAGGGCGGTATAACAGCATCCCCCCGGTCCTGTCAAGGCAGCGCCACCGACATTTCAGCTGCCCAATCGCCCGCTCCACAACTGACCGAGTGCGGGAATGGGCATCATTGTATCTGCGCTCTCGGTCAGTTTGTGGGTTGGTGAGGGGGGTTAACAGCCACGTCTTTAGTGGATAACCACTGTCTCCTGATGGGCAGTAATAATAATTACAGACACAAACATTTTACTTTTAGATAGAACCATACATTTAAATGCATAACTTACCAAGTAGCCACCCATCGCGCACCCTGCCAGCTTGGAGTCTCATCCCAACCATGCTGTTTGTAAGGATATATGAATCATGGGTTGACCCAGGCCACCTTGCCACAATATTTGTTAGGTGCATTTGTGCATCACATATAATCTGCACATTTATTGAATGGAAATGTTTCCGATTCACATATGCAAATTCGTCTTCAGATGGCGCCTTTATAGCAATATGTGTGCAGTCGATCGCTCCGATTACATTAGGAAAACCGGCTATCGCTGCAAATTGCGCTTTGATGTTTGGCTGGTCACCTGCATCGTATGGGAACGTTATATACCTGGTAGACAAGCGGATGATGCCGTCCCATACAGGTGGCATTGCACGGCTCAAACACGACTGGCTTATTCCTGAGCGGTCTGCCAGTTCTCTTTGGAAAGAACCGGTTGCTAGGAAACCAAGTGTAGTAAGCACCTGTAAAGGAACGGGTAATGCGTGGCTCCTCACTGTCTCTCTTTCCAAATTCGGACCCAACTCAGCGCAGAGCTCCAAGAGTATAGCCCTTGGAAATCTGAAACGGCTGATGAGCCAGTCATCGTCGTGGGCCAGAAAATCACCGTGGTCCCTAAAAACTCGTTCTCTCCGGATTTGTCCATTGAAAATGTCTTCTAATAAAGCCAAAGCTGCCATTGCTAGACGGGTTGTATCAATTTTCACATCCTTTATATATGTTCTTACTTAATTGCATAATTAATAGAATATTCTAATAAGACTCGTGTGACAATAATATGGCAAATCATTTATCAATTACAAATTATAAGCAATATCTGGCAGGTGCGATAGAACAGTTCGTAGTGTAATGTTTGCCACTTCACTTTATTGCCTCTATGAGTCGCCAACGGACAAACATCACAAAAATGTACGTACGCCAGGCCTGAAGTTTACGTGGAAGAACGCACATTCTTACGTTAATTTCACTGTTAGTACATCTGACCGTGAACGTGAAAGCTGGCGTACGCCGTGTTTTCGTGCGTACGCAAGATTGTTACATGAGGCCCCTGGGGCATTCTTAAAATACACATCTAAAATCCATTTGAGAGTTCTGGAAGAGGACGGTGGCAATAAAAACACAAAATAGATGATTCCTCACAACACTGAATCTTAAACTCACAGCTTGTTTTCCTCACTATCCCAATTTAGAGGTAAATGATTAGTACTCCTTGAGTGCATGGCTTACTCAAACACACATGCGAACTCACTCCTACACATGCTTATAGTCACAAACACAAAGTGCACAAACATTTGTACACACACTCGCACCCAGGCACTGCGATATGTCTCCCAATATGTTTCAGATACAGTATTAATCTCTTCAGCTAGTGTGCTGAGAGCTGAGGCTAAAACTAGCCATATTTCTCCCTGTCTATCCACTGTTCACACCAAGTCCTGCTGGCCCATCAGTTTGATTATCTCACTGTACATCTCCTGGGGGGCATCCAGACCCCAGATGAAGTCCAGGTGTTCCCAGTGCTCAATGTGGCGGTGGTACACCAGGTTGGGGACCTGAGTGAGCAGCACGGCAATGTCCTTAGGGTCAGCCAAGGTGTCGTGACCTCCGGACCACAGGGCTGTAGGCACCTTCATGTCCTGGATGTTGTACAGCGGGGGGGTCGACTGGAGGGGGACAAGAATGGACTAGATGTCAGTTAAAGGCATCGATTGACCATAAGGGCACAGTGGATACGGATCAGTAAAGAGAAGTTACTTTCAGAAAGAGGTAGGAGCTTCTGACAGCCTTGGAAAACAACTTCAGTGTGAAGTGGTGTGGGTGTATTTTGGCAGACTAATGAGCTCTGAGCTGGCCTTACCTGGTTATAGTGAGCCATGTTCCCTGCTCTCCCGTAGTCATAAGCCATCAGCTTTCCACCATGCACTGCCTGTAAAAAGAAAACACATCAAAAATACTTGGGACTCTAGGTAGCTGAACACATGGTGGTACTGTATGTAAAGGTAGAATCTCTGTTAACCCAGAAGTAAAATCTCACGTAATTCGGTCAGCTGCGTGATCAACTTCTGTGTTCATACATGTTAGAAATTGACGAAATCTCCACCCTCGCAAAAGGATACTCTGCCAAACGCCCCCCTCCCCCTCTTCCGATCCGTGTAGGCACACGCGAAGAACTCTAGGCGAAGCAGTTTAAGCACCGCCTTCCTGATACGTCCAAATAACCAGTGACCAAAAAAATTTTTTTATAACTAATGCTGCTCGTTATCTCACGCATCCCATTCAATCCCGGCAGATCCTTCGGTCTACAAGCAGAATCTGCCCACGGGAGACTAGTATGTGCACCATGTCCAGCAATAGGTAACCTTCAGTAAGGTTAAAGTTGTCTTTGGTAAATCTGGGATTGACCTTTACTCAAGGTTCATTCATTTCTACAACACTGAAACGTTGAGGGAGAAAATGGACATGTTTGAGTCAATAAGTCAGTGTGCAGCAGGAATGTCTTGGAAAATTCCAGAAAATTATGTAATGGCTTTAGAAGCTTCTGATAGGCTAATTGACATCATTTGAGTCAATTGGAGGTGTACCTGTGAATGTATTTCAAGGCCTACCTTCAAACTCAGTGCCTCTTTGCTTGACATCATGGGAAAATCTAAAGAAATAAGCCAAGACCTCAGAAAATAAATGTGTAGACCTCCACAAGTCTGGTTCATCCTTGGGAGCAATTTCCAAACACCTGAAGGTACCACGTTCATCTGTACAAACAATAGTATGCAAGTATAAACACCATGGGACCACGCAGCAGTCATACCGCTCAGGAAGGAAACGCGTTCTGTCTCCTAGAGATGAACGTACTTTGGTGTGAAAAGTGCAAATCAATCCCAGAACAACAGTAAAGGACCTTGTGAAGATGCTGGAGGAAACCGGTACAAAAGTATCTACAGTGGGGAAAAAAAGTTTAGTCAGACACCAATTGTGCAAGTTCTCCCACTTAAAAAGATGAGAGAGGCCTGTAATTTTCATCATAGGTACATGTCAACTATGACAGACAAAATGAGAAGAAAAAAAATCCAGAAAATCACATTGTAGGATTTTTAATGAATGTATTTGCAAATTATGGTGGAAAATAAGTATTTGGTCAATAACAAAAGTTTCTCAATACTTTGTTGTATACCCTTTGTTGGCAATGACACAGGTCAAACGTTTTCTGTAAGTCTTCACAAGGTTTTCATACACTGTTGCTGGTATTTTGGCCCATTCCTCCATGCAGATCTCCTCTAGAGCAGTGATGTTTTGGGGCTGTCGCTGGGCAACACGGACTTTCAACTCCCTCCAAAGATTTTCTATGGGGTTGAGATCTGGAGACTGGCTAGGCCACTCCAGGACCTTGAAATGCTTCTTACGAAGCCACTCCTTTGTTGCCCGGGCGGTGTGTTTGGGATCATTGTCATGCTGAAAGACCCAGCCACGTTTCATCTTCAATGCCCTTGCTGATGGAAGGAGGTTTTCACTCAAAATCTCACGATACATGGCCCCATTCATTCTTTCCTTTACACGGATCAGTCGTCCTGGTCCCTTTGCAGAAAAACAGCCCCAAAGCATGATGTTTCCACCCCCATGCTTCACAGTAGGTATGGTGTTCTTTGAATGCAACTCAGCATTCTTTGTCCTCCAAACACGACGAGTTTCATCTGACCATATGACATTCTCCCAATCCTCTTCTGGATCATCCAAATGCACTCTAGCAAACTTCAGACGGGCCTGGACATGTACTGGCTTAAGCAGGGGGACACGTCTGGCACTGCAGGATTTGAGTCCCTGGCGGTGTAGTGTGTTACTGATGGTAGGCTTTGTTACTTTGGTCCCAGCTCTCTGCAGGTCATTCACTAGGTCCCCCTGTGTGGTTCTGGGATTTTTGCTCACCGTTCTTTTGATCATTTTGACCCCACGGGGTGAGATCTTGCGTGGAGCTCCAGATCGAGGGAGATTATCAGTGGTCTTGTATGTCTTCCATTTCCTAATAATTGCTCCCACAGTTGATTTCTTCAAACCAAGCTGCTTACCTATTGCAGATTCAGTCTTCCCAGCCTGGTGCAGGTCTACAATTTTGTTTCTGGTGTCCTTTGACAGCTCTTTGGTCTTGGCCATAGTGGAGTTTGGAGTGTGACTGTTTGAGGTTGTGGACAGGTGTCTTTAATACTAATAACAAGTTCAAACAGGTGCCATTAATACAGGTAACGAGTGGAGGACAGAGGAGCCTCTTAAAGAAGAAGTTACAGGTCTGTGAGTGCCAGAAATCTTGCTTGTTTGTAGGTGACCAAATACTTATTTTTCCACCATAATTTGCAAATAAATTCATAAAAAATCCTACAATGTGATTTTCTGGAGAAAAAAAATCTCAATTTGTCTGTCATAGTTGACGTGTACCTATGATGGAAATTACAGGCCTCTCTCATCTTTTTAAGTGGGAGAACTTGCACAATTGGTGGCTGACTAAATACCTTTTTTCCCCACTGTATATCCACAATAAAACTAGTCCTATATCGACATAACCTGAAAGGTCGCTCAGCAAGGAAGAAGCCACTGCTCCAAAACCGCCATAAAAAAGCCAGACTACAGTTTGCAACTGCACATGGGGACAAAGATCGTACTTTTTGGAGCAATGTCCTCTGATGAAACAAATAATGACCATCGTTATGTTTGGAGGAAAAAGGGGGATCTTGCAAGCCAAAGAACACCATCCCAACCGTGACGCACGGGGGTGGCAGCATCATGCTGTGGGGGTGCTTTGCTGCAGGAGGGTCTGGTGCACTTCACAAAATAGATGACATCATGAGGAAGGAAAATGATGTGGATATATTGAAGCAACATCTCAAGACATCAGTCAAGAAGTTAAAGCTTGGTCGCAAATGGGTCTTCCAAATGGACAATGACCCTAAGCATACTTCCAAAGTTGTGGCAAAATGGCTTAAAGACAACAAAGTCAAGGTTTTGGAGTGGCCATCACAAAGCCCTGACCTCAATTCTATAGAACATTTGTGGGCAGAACTGAAAAAGCGTGTGCGAGCAAGGAGGCCTACAAACCTGACTCAGTTAAACCAGCTCTGTCAGGAGGAATGGGCCAAAATTCACCCAACTTATTGTGGGAAGCTTGTGGAAGGCTAACGTTTGACCCAAGTTAAACAATTTAAAGGCAATGCTACCAAATACTAATTGAGGCCCCGTGTAGCTCAGTTGGTATAGCATGGTGCTTGCAACGCCAGGGTTGTGGGTTCGTTTCCCACGGGGGGCCAGTATAAAAATAAAAATAAAATGTATGCACTCACTAACTGTAAAGTCGCTCTGGATAAGAGCGTCTGCTAAATGACTAAAATGTAAATGTAAATGATTGTATGTAAACTTCTGACCCACTGGGAATGTGATGAAATAAATAAAAGCTTAAATAAATAATTCTCTCTACTATTATTCTGGCATTTCACATTCTTAAAATAAAGTGGTGATCCTAACTGACCTAAGACTGGGAATTTTAAATGATTAAATGTCAGGAATTGTGAAAAACTGAGTTTAAATGTATTTGGCTAAAGTGTATGTACACTTCCGACTTCAACTGTAACTGGAAACTTTCTAAATTTACCAGTAAACAACCAGAATTTTGGTAACTTTCAAAGTATTTTGGGGTACTTCTGATTATCACATATGTCTGTAATTATCTCAGGCGCTCTGTTTGGCCTTCTCACATGTAAAATATATTAAATATAAAAATAAGATGCTTTTAAATTTAAAAAATAAAATCAATCCCATTCAAATTACACTTATATTTATTTTACTATGTCAGTATTTCTTTGTTGTAAATGTTTTGGAGCCAAACTGGTGGCAGTTGTGAAAAAAGTCAATAGTTTGAAGATTTACATTTACATTTACATTTTAGTCATTTAGCAGACGCTCTTATCCAGAGCGACTTACAGGAGCAATTAGGGTTAAGTGCCTTGCTCAAGGCCTATTTTCCTTTCTCGGGTTGAACCAATGGGTTTGTATGCCACCCCAAAAGCTTGGTTTATTAATGCTTTTTTCAAATTTTTCCCAATTTTCCAAAGTATCATAAATTTCCCTAGTAACTTTTGTAAATTACATTAGTTTGTAAATACCTAAGTAGGATAGATCCAGTAGGCTTTGGTATATGAGGTTTATTATGGAGTGGAGGCTTGGGGTTATAGAGGGGTTGGTGGTGGAGGCTTGGGGATATAGAGGGGTTGGTGAGCTGGAGCTTGGGGTTATAGAGGGGTTGGTGAGGAAGGCTTGGGGTTATAGAGGGGTTGGTGAGTGGAGGCTTGGGGTTATAGAGGGGTTGGTGAGTGGAGGCTTGGGGGTATTATAGGGGCTGTGAGTGGAGGCTTGGGGGTATATAGAGGGGTTGGTGAGTGGAGGCTTGGGGGTATATAGAGGGGTTGGTGAGTGGAGGCTTGGGGTATAGAGGGTTGGTGAGCGGAGGCTTGGGGGTATATAGAGGGGTTGGTGAGGGAGGCTTGGGGTATAGAGGGTTGGTGAGCGGAGCTTGGGATTATAGAGGGTTGGTAGTGGAGGCTTGGGGGTATAGAGGGGTTGGTGAGCGGAGGCTTGGGATTATAGAGGGGTTGGTGAGGGAGGCTTGGGGGTTATAGGGGGTTGGTGAGCGAGGCTTGGGGGTATATAGAGGGGTTGGTGAGTGGAGGCTTGGGGTATATAGAGGGGTTGGTGAGCGAGGCTTGGGGGTATAGAGGGGTTGGTGAGCGGAGCTTGGGGTTATAGAGGGGTTGGTGAGCGGAGGCTTGGGGTTATAGAGGGGTTGGTGAGTGGAGGCTTGGGGGTATAGAGGGGTTGGTGAGCGGAGGCTTGGGGGTATAGAGGGGTTGGTGAGCGGAGGCTTGGGATTATAGAGGGGTTGGTGAGTGGAGGCTTGGGGGTATAGAGGGGTTGGTGAGCGGAGGCTTGGGATTATAGAGGGGTTGGTGAGTGGAGGCTTAGAGGGGTGTGAGCGAGCTTGGGGGTATAGGGGGTTGGATGAGTGGAGGCTTGGGGGTATATAGGGGTTGGTGAGCGGAGGCTTGGGGTATAGAGTTGGAGGCTTGGTGAGGTTGGGGGTATAGAGTGGTTTTTTGGTGAGGGAGGCTTGGGTATAGGGGTTGGAGAGGTATAGAGGGTGTGAAGGCTTGGGGTATAGAGGGGTTGGTAAGGGAGGATATGAGATGTGTAAAAGGGAAAGGCACATCAAAGGCACCCATACAGGGGGCTCAGAGCAGGGTGTTGGGTGTAAAGTCTGCCCGGGAGACTCAGTCAGTCGGGGAGTCCATCTGACTGTAGCTGTGAACGTAATCCAAAGCTGTGTCTGCTCTGATCCCTCTGGTCTTTGACTGGACGTCTTACTTCCACGGCTAGGGCTCAGGAAATGGAGGCTGTGTACAGTTTAGCAGCTATTAGAACTGCGTGGTTTGAGAAGAGCAAACTTATTCTCGATTCAGACTGTGCTGCCTGCACCCCCGCCTTCCTGGATATAGCTCTGTGTTGTAACTCTGTGTTGTTGTTTTTAATCGCACTGCTTTGCTTTATCTTGGCCAGGTCGCAGTTGTAAATGAGAACTTGTTCTCAACTGGCTTACCTGGTTAAATAAAGGTTAAATAAAAAATAAAAAATAAAAAAATAGGCCTGTACTGTAGGCCTACATGAAGGTTTTAACAAATGGGGGTTGGGGTGGGATGTATAGGTTTGAAGAAGTGAGGTGAATCATATTGGATAGGGTGTTTTTGATAGGCTCCCATCAGGTATGTTCTTACCTGAGACCAGTGAATCATGTTCTGCACTGAGGTCCCTGCTGGGCAGTGGGAGGTGTACACAGGTGTGCGAGTCTGGACAAAAACAAATAAATATAGAAATTAATGTCTTCACCATCTTCATTTATACCTATAGAATTGGCTTGAGGAAAATAGGTTTAAGGAAGTCTACAACAGTAATACTGTACAATAATAAAAAGGCGATAATCAAAATGTGAGAGCTGTGGAGACGCACCATGTTGAGGTTCAGCTCATCGAAGCCACAGAGGACGAAGAAGAGGTTTCCACATAGCTCACTAAGAGGTTCATTACTGCAGAAGTTGGTGGCGAACCACTTGATAAGAGCACTCTGAGGCATGAAGTCCTTCTTCCCAAACACATCCTAGCATACAGAAACCAAACAATGGATTAGCATTAGTCAGTATTGAAATAATCAAAGATTCTGACCGATTGTTCAAGATAAATAAAACGTCTGCCAAAATTGGGTAGAAAAAGGAAGCCACAGATTGGACGTATTGTGTGAATGAATTGTGACATAATACAGTGTATGTTAGAAAAATAGCCTTTTCTACTCACCCAAATGAGGAAATCGGGGAAGATGGAGAGCTTGCTCATGGGGCTGGCAGTGAAAGCCACAGTTGCCACCGGAGCCAGGCCGAAGAACATCTTGATTTTGCTTGCCAGCTCAGGCATGGAAGAGAATGCAACAAAAGCTACGGGGTCAGAGACATACAGTCAGAAAAACATTGAATGGTTTAAAACGGTAAACCATAATGTAGAATAGACAGCAGTGTCAAACGACAGGTGAAACATATTTGGCTTCATTTAATATGACACATAACCAAATCAAGCCGTCTCACCAATAGTGGTTCCCTGAGAGTGGCCTATATAGTAGATCTGCTCCTGGCCTGTGGTCTTCAGAATGTGGTTGACCACTGCTGGCAGGTCCTTCTTTGCCATCTCATCATAACTGAAGAATAAGAACAGAAGAAACTCAGTAAATGCCATAATAAGACTACTTAAATAGACATTTCATATAATATAATGTGTTTCTACTAGAACCTTTTGTGATTCTGTTGGTGAGCACAGGGGATTTTTCAATAATCGGGCCAGTATATTAGGTACACCCATCTAGTACCGGGTCGGACCCCCTTTGCCTCCAAAACAGCCTGAATTCTTTGAGCATGGAAACGTTCCATAATTGGTACCAAGGGACCTAACGTGTGCCAGGAAAAATTCCCCACACCATTACACCATTGCCCAGCCTGTACCGTTGACACCAGGCAGGATGGGGTCATGGACTCGTGCTGCTTACGCCAAATCCTGACTCTGCAATCAGCATGACGCAACAGGAACCGGGATTCATTGGAGCAGGCAATGTTTTTCCACTCCTCAATTGTCCAGTGTTGATGATCACATGCCCACTGGAGCTGCTTCTGCTTGTTGGAACCCGGTGTGGTCGTCAGCTGCAATAGCCCATCCGTGACAAAGACAGACGAGTTGTGCGTTCCGAGATGCCGTTCTGTGCACCACTGTTGTACTGCGCCGTTATTCGTCTGTTTGTGGCCCGCCTGTTAGCTTGCACGATTCTTGCCACTCTCCTTCGACCTCTCATTAATGAGCCGTTTTCACCCACAGGACTGCTGCTGACTGGATGTTTTTTCAAACATCAAAGTAACTTAGGTCAGTCGTTTTGCCCATTCTAACGTTCAATCGAACAGTAACTGAATGCCTCGATGCCTGTCTGCCTGCTTTATATAGCAAGCCACAGCCACGTGACTCTCTGTCTGTAGGAGCGATCCATTTTCGTGTATATCCAGACCTAGGTGTATAGTCATGGCCTGAAGCGCAAGCAAAGATCAGTATAAGTGGAATTCATCTTTGTAGCTACCTGAACTGCCAGAACTCATTGTGGTCAGGGCTGAGTGTGAGGTGTCTCCTGGACCAGGTGTTTCCCCTGCTGTTGCCGATCCAGACGTCGTAGCCAGCGTCGGCTAGCAGGTAAGCCAGGCTGGTGTTGGGCAGGTTGGTCACCCAGTTACTCCCCGCTGCCAGGAGACCGTGCTGGAGGAACACTGCAGGCTTGGGATCTAGGAGGATGAGAAATTGGACTTCATTGAGCATAATGCTATAGGGTGAATACTGTAACAAGCTATGGAGGTGATACTAAGTGAGGAGCATCATATTCATAGGAAAAGTCAAGCAAGGATCACAGGCATAACCTAGTGGTTATGTAATATTTATACATTCTTCTCAAACATGGTTGAAGAATCCATTCACATTCCAACATGCCCAAAAATACATCAACTGAAAGTGGATAGAACTAACTGTTTAGTTACAAAAAAAAATTATATTCATAATTCAAGTGTTGTGTTGACTGTAACCACCAGAGGGCGTGTCTGTCTAAGCTATGGTACATCCCAGCTGCAGGGGAGCCTTTCTCCTTGTGGCTCTGCACACTCAGCTTTAAAAATCGCTGAAATCTGTCAGAAACATGATGTGAGCTGTTCTTTTTGGTAGCATAAACAGACCTTTAGATGATAGGATTGGCTACTATCACTCTACTGTACTGTTGGAGCTAGAAACATAAGCATTTCGCTGCACCTGCTAGAACACATACAAATCTGTGTACGTGACCAATGAACTTTGATATAGGGAATGAACCCCTAGCCTACCCTGTTGCCTAGACTGCTTTTTATTTGAATAGGCAGCATGCTGCTGGAGAGATTTTTTGATTTGACATAACTCCCAGGTGATCCCAAGAGAGAGACACACACACACACACAATGCTTTGTCCTGACTTGTGTTATAGTGAAATGGGTGTATGTGTTTATTAAGCATCAATTTTTCATTTTAGTATTAAACACTATCATTCACTGTTACAATAGCTAAAGGGGCCAAAGGGACAAGGAGGGCTTTTGTTTAAAAAAATAGTCTAATGTATAGTCAAACACAGTGTTATCTGTTCAAATGATATACATTATGAATGATATTTCTCAACCACTTCTCTACAATGCAGATGTGTGCAAGAAGACCAAATCTACAGTATCTCTCCTAGATTGAAGATCAAAGTTTTCCAACATTAGCTCTTCTAACTAGCACGATTCTTAGAACAAAACCCCATCTGGGGGCTGAAATAATTCCAGCTCTGCTGTGTTCCTTTGAGCGATCCAGACGCTCTCCCGTGTGAGCAGGGGAAGTGGGACAACAGGAAATGAGATGCATCTCCAGCCTATCACAGAGCCCCGCTGCCTCTCTGACTGGATGTGCTGCCACATACTACTGAGCAGGGAGCAAGAGGCATCAAGAGATACAAACAACATGATGGCTCCTTACTTATTTAGAGGATATCAGAATATATTATTGAGATTTTTAACTCCCCAGACTAGCTAAACCTTGGCATATCACATCGTATTGGGGGGTATCTTTCAAGTGGAACCCCTGGCTAGTTTATGAAGCATTTCTAATGACAAACCAATGTCAATATTAATACTAAACTGAATTTGCATTTTAAATCATTGGAGAGGGTCAACTGAAGTAGTTCATTTACTAATTCATGTTTTGGAAAGTAATCCAATGGAGTAAAAACAAGGCTGGCGCCAAGGCCAGTGTTTAATACTCAAGGCACTGAAATTCACTAACAGAGAACATGAAATTCGAGAACATGTGTTCTTGTTCAGAATGATATGAGACACTGTGTTCAGAAAAAAGCATAGTTTATTGCCTCTGAATTTGTTTTGCACTCAAATGGTTTCCCCCAATGAGATTAGTGTGAGGTTTAGCAATCACTTTGCTCATTAATGAAATATAGGGGCAACAAAGGAAAGAGAAACTGAATACTGATTTGTAGGAACCGGAGAGCGAGTGTGGCTCTGTCTGACAGAAGCTGTGGATCACAGTATTTAGACTAAACTTATAAGACAACAACTGCCTCTTTAGAAGAAATATAAAACTTTTAATAACATTATGCATTCCTAATGCACTAAATCAAATCATATAATAATTTCCTCCTTATTACTGTAACTATTACTTTTCCCATCACATATTGAAAATACACCGTAATTACATTTTAACAAGAGCCTAATAAATTAGATGGTTGAAAATGATCCAAGCTACATTTGAAACAGCTCAAGCTAGGGACGGATTATGAGAAATACCAAACAAATAAAAACGCCACAGAAATTCAATTAAATCATCGTCTGGGTTCAAAATGATTGAAGCATAGAGGTAAACTATTTGCAGCTAGACAGCCTCACTGGATGCATGCGATATTATAGCTTGTGATGACAGGAAAAGCCACCTTCTGACAACAAAAGGTCAGGAGTAGACTGGGCGGTGCAATCGCAAAATATAGAAATGGAGTCCTCTTGTCAGAGTGGCGAATGCTGAAGACAACTTAAATTTAGGATCTTGACTCAGTACAAATGTTTGACAATGTGGGAAATATCAGCACTTCAGATGTTAGTCACGGTGTTTGTGTGTGTGTGTGTGTGTGTGTGTTGGTCTTTGATATGTGGATCTGATTACAGGGCTTGAGGCCCTGACTCTTCAAAGTGCATGTCATTGCAGACTACTACTGTGTGTTTTAAAAAATGAATGCAGAGTTAAGGCCACTGACCATATTAATTAACCCCATGCTATGGCCAAAGCCATGAACCCTTTAATACACACCTTCACCTTTCTTTAGACCGTGTGGAATCCTGTTGACGCTCAGGATGTAGCCGTCCTCTGTGACGACGTCGTACTCCTCTGCCGGGTAGCCCCAATGCCTGATGATCTCACTCTGTGTGGGACAGAGAAGACACAAACAAACAAACAGTCAAATATATTCTGAATGCTGACAGAATGGGTATCTATGGTAACATTTTATTTTACAGCCCTATTTACATACTTTACTCACTGTGAAATTACAGTAAAATTCAAGCAGACAATATTATTTCCGCTGCCTCTACTAGTCAGCTTGTCACTAAAAAGTACATTCTTCCCCTGTTGCATTCCCGCCCACACGCCCCTTCCCAGATATTATAAACACTCATGTGGACCTTCAAAAGAAAGTGTGTGAGCCTGTGGGTTCCGGCCAAGCCTGCCATGCAATCTAGCCATGCATAATTAATACACATCACCAATTCTCGCCTCCCTCTAGACTGCCCAGTCTACCCATTCTACTGACTGTGGGCCACTTAAGGATAAACCTGCACCTGGTTCAACACACACTGAGGTGGTATCAGAGGCCCAGGGGTGGAGGGGAGAATTGGTGTTCTGCTCTGCCTCATTTGGGTCTGGTTTTACACAGGGAAATGGGAGTATGAAAAATAATGTAATGTCACATGACCTCAGTGTGGCTCACCCCTCACAGTTCTGGGTGACTTGAACCTCCCTACGTCTGCCTTTGACTAATTTCTCTCTGCCTCCTTCTTTCCACTCCTTTCCTCTTTTGACCTCACCCTCTCACCGTCCCCCCCTACTCACAAGGCAGGCAATACGCTTGACCTCATCTTTACTAGATGCTGTTCTTCTACTAATCTCACTGCAACTCCTCTCCAAGTCTCCGACCACTACTTTAACTATGACAGACAAAATGAGGAAAAAAAATCCAGAAAATCACATTGTAGGATTTTTTATGAATTTATTTGCAAATTATGGTGGAAAATAAGTATTTGGTCAATAACAAAAGTTTCTCAATACTTTGTTATATACCCTTTGTTGGCAAGGACACAGGTCAAACGTTTTCTGTAAGTCTTCACAAGGTTTTCACACACTGTTGCTGGTATTTTGGCCCATTCCTCCATGCAGATCTCCTCTAGAGCAGTGATGTTTTGGGGCTGTCGATGGGCAACATGGACTTTCAACTCCCTCCAAAGATTTTCTATGGGGTTGAGATCTGGAGACTGGCTAGGCCACTCCAGGACCTTGAAATGCTTCTTACGAAGCCACTCCTTCTTTTCCCGGGCGGTGTGTTTGGGATCATTGTCATGCTGAAAGACCCAGCCACGTTTAATCTTCAATGCCCTTGCTGATGGAAGGAGGTTTTCACTCAAAATCTCACGATACATGGCCCCATTCATTCTTTCCTTTACACGGATCAGTCATCCTGGTCCCTTTGCAGAAAAACAGCCCCAAAGCATGATGTTTCCACCCCCATGCTTCACAGTAGGTATGGTGTTCTTTGGATGCAACTCAGCATTCTTTGTCCTCCAAACACGACGAGTTGAGTTTTTAACAAAAAGTTCTATTTTGGTTTCATCTGACCATATGACATTCTCCCAATCCTCTTCTGGATCATCCAAATGCACTCTAGCAAACTTCAGACGGGCCTGGACATGTACTGGCTTAAGCAGGGGGACACGTCTGGCACTGCAGGATTTTAGTCCCTGGCGGCGTAGTGTGTTACTGATGGTAGGCTTTGTTACTTTGGTCCCAGCTCTCTGCAGGTCATTCACTAGGTCCCCCCGTGTGGTTCTGGGATTTTTGCTCACCGTTCTTGTGATCATTTTGACCCCACGGGGTGAGATCTTGCGTGGAGCCCCAGATCGAGGGAGATTATCAGTGGTTTTGTATGTCTTCCATTTCCTAATAATTGCTCCCACAGTTGATTTCTTCAAACCAAGCTGCTTACCTATTGCAGATGCAGTCTTCCCAGCCTGGTGCAGGTCTACAATTTTGTTTCTGGTGTCCTTTGACAGCTCTTTGGTCTTGGCCATAGTGGAGTTTGGAGTGTGACTGTTTGAGGTTGTGGACAGGTGCCTTTTATACTGATAACAAGTTCAAACAGGTGCCATTAATACAGGTAACGAGTGGAGGACAGAGGAGCCTCTTAAAGAAGAAGTTACAGGTCTGTGAGAGCCTGAAATCTTGCTTGTTTGTAGGTGACCAAATACTTATTTTCCACCATAATTTGCAAATAAATTCATTAAAAATCCTACAATGTGATTTTCTGGATATTCTTTACTCAATTTGTCTGTCATAGTTGACGTGTACCTATGATGAAAATTACAGGCCTCTCTCATCTTTTTAAGTGGGAGAACTTGCACAATTGGTGGCTGACTAAATACTTTTTTCCCCACTGTATCCTTTTCTCTCTCGCTCTCCTCCAACACTACTCACTCTGCCCTTACTCAGATGGTAATGTGCCGTCGCAACCGTCACTCTCTCTCTCCCGCTACGCTCTCCTCTTCCATCCTATCATCTCTTCCCTCTGCTAAATCCTTCTCCCTCCAATCTCCTGATTCTGCCTCCTCAACCCTCCTCTCCTCCCTTTCTGCATCTTTTGACTCTCTATGTCCCCTATCCTCCCGGCCGGCTCGGTCCTCCCCTTCTGCTCCGTGGCTTGACGACTCATTGCGAGCTCATAGAACAGGGCTCCGAGCAGCCGAGCGGAAATGGAGGAAAACTAGACTCCCTGCGGACGTGTCATCTTTCCACTCCCTCCTCTCTACATTCTCTTCCTCTGTTTCTGCTGCTAAAGCCACTTTCTACCACTCTAAATGTCAAGCCTCTGCCTCTAACCCTAGGAAGCTCTTTGCCACCTTCTCCTCCCTGCTGAATCCTCCTCCCCCTCCCTCTCTGTGGATGACTTCGTCAACCATTTTGAAAAGAAGGTTGATGACATCCGATCCTCATTTATTAAGTCAAATGACACCGCTGGTCCTGCTCACACTGCCCTACCTTATGCTTTGACTTCTTTCTCCCCTCTCTCCAGATGAAATCTTGCGACTTGTGAGGGCCGGCCGCCCAACAACCTGCCCGCTTGACCCTATCCCCTCCTCTCTTCTCCAGACCATTTCCGGAGACCTTCTCCCTTACCTCAACTCGCTCATCAACTCATCATTGACCGCTGGCCATGTCCCTTCCGTCTTCAAGAGAGCGAGAGTTGCACCCCTCCTCAAAAAACCTACACTCGATCCCTCCGATGTCAACAACTACAGACCAGTATCCCTTCTTTCTTTTCTCTCCAAAACTCTTGAGCGTGCAGTCTCTAGCCAATTCTCCTGCTATCTCTCGCAGAATGACCTTCTTGATCCAAACCAGTCAGGTTTCAAGACTGGTCATTCAACTGAGACTGCTCTTCTCTGTGTCACGGAGGCTCTCCGCACTGCTAAAGCTAACTCTCTCTCCTCTGATCTTATCCTTCTAGACCTATCTGCTGCCTTTGATACTGTGAACCATCAGAATCTCCTCTCCACCCTATCCGAGTTGGGCATCTCCGGCGCTGCTCACTCTTGGATTGCGTCCTACCTGACAGGTCGCTCCTACCAGGTTGCGTGGCGAGAATCTGTCTACGCACCATGGGCTCTCACCACTGGTGTCCCCCAGGGCTCAGTTCTAGGCCCTCTCCTATTCTCTCTATACACCAAGTCACTTGGCTCTGTCATATCCTCACATGGTCTCTCCTATCATTGCTACGCAGACGACACACAATTAATTTTCTCCTTTCCTCCTTCTGATAACCAGGTGGCGAATCGCATCTCTGCATGTCTGGCAGACATCTCAGTGTGGATGTCGGATCACCACCTCAAGCTGAACCTCGGCAAGACGGAGCTGCTCTTCCTCCCGGGGAAGGACTGCCTGCTCCATGATCTCGCCATCACGGTTGACAACTCCATTGTGGCCTCCTCCCAGAGTGCAAAGAACCTTGGCGTGACCCTGGACAACACCCTGTCGTTCTCTGCTAACATCAAAGCGGTGACCCGATCCTGCAGGTTCATGCTCTACAACATTCGCAGAGTACGACCCTACCTTACACAGAAAGCGGCACAGGTCCTAATCCAGGCACTTGTCATCTCCCGTCTGGATTACTGCAACTCGCTGTTGGCTGGGCTCCCTGCCTGTGCCATTAAACCCCTACAACTTATCCAGAACACTGCAGCCCGTCTGGTGTTCAACCTTCCCAAGTTCTCTCATGTCACCCCGCTCCTCCGCACACTCCACTGGCTTCCAGTTGAGGCTCGCATCTACTACAAGACCATGGTGCTTGCCTACAGAGCTGTGAGGGGAACGGCACCTCCTTACCTTCAGGCTCTGATCAGACCCTACACCCAAACGAGGGCACTACGTTCATCCACCTCTGGCCTGCTAGCCCCCCTACCTCTACGGAAGCACAGTTCCCGCTCAGCCCAGTCAAAGCTATTCGCTGCTCTGGCACCCCAATGGTGGAACAAGTTCCCCCACGACGCCAGGACAGCGGAGTCACTGACCACCTTCCGGAGTCAATTGAAACCCTACCTCTTTAAGGAATACCTGGAATAGTATAAAAGTAATCATTCTACCCCCCCCCCTCCCCCACCAAAAAACAAATCATCATAAGTTGAATGCACCAATTTGTAAGTCGCTCTGGATAAGAGCGTCTGCTAAATGTCGTAAACGTGTGGGGAGAAGAGCAATTGAGAGGGTCTGTGCTTGCAGGCCAACAATGGGAGAAAGAAACATTTGCATGTGAGAACCATTACTACTGGGAATTGTATTAGGCTTATATCACTGAGACTGTGTAGTTTCCAATGACAAATACTGTATACTAACTATAATAAATAATAATATGCCATTTAGCAGACGCTTTTATCCAAAGCGACTTACAGTCATGCGTGCATACATTTTTTTGTGTATATGTGGTCCCGGGGTTCGAACCCACTACCTTGGCGTTATAAGCGCCGTGCTCTACCAGCTGAGCTACAGAGGACCACAACTAGACACATACTAGATTCAGGATCATGACATTGTGTTATTGTGTTTATCAAAGATATGAGGTTAACCACTGACATGCACCAGGCCCAAATCCACACGTTTATTTTATCATTGGCATAGCTCAGATATGAATAAACACACATGATATATTTTCTGACAAATTGTGGTGAAAGCATTTGATTGATTGCCATGTCAAATATTTCACCTACTGTATGCCTGTGTGGGCTCCTGGAGCACAAATGATACTGATATCACGAAGCACACAGAATAACCATTTAATTGAACACTCACTTGTCCCTTAAAATCCATTCTTGAAAAGTTAATGAACGCCTATCAAAACTATTTTAGCTTACAAACAAACCAAGATCAATTCAAGGCTTATTACACCTTAATAATAATAATAAATAATAATAATTATGATTATTAAATGATAATACTTTGTATTATTAGTATTATAATTACACAGAGACACTGGAGCAAATATATTTTACTGCAATTTACAGGGACACGTTTTTGTATAGCTTTTTCGGTTTTACAGTGGGGGAAAAAAGTATTTAGTCAGCCACCAATTGTGCAAGTTCTCCCACTTAAAAAGATGAGAGAGGCCTGTAATTTTCATCATAGGTACACGTCAACTATGACAGACAAAATGAGAAGAAAAAATCCAGAAAATCACATTGTAGGATTTTTCATGAATTTATTTGCAAATTATGGTGGAAAATAAGTATTTGGTCAATAACAAAAGTTTCTCAATACTTTGTTATATACCCTTTGTTGGCAATGACACAGGTCAAACGTTTTCTGTAAGTCTTCACAAGGTTTTCACACACTGTTGCTGGTATTTTGGCCCATTCCTCCATGCAGATCTCCTCTAGAGCAGTGATGTTTTGGGGCTGTCGCTGGGCAACACGGACTTTCATCTCCCTCCAGAGATTTTCTATGGGGTTGAGATCTGGAGACTGGCTAGGCCACTCCAGGACCTTGAAATGCTTCTTACGAAGCCACTCCTTCGTTGCCCGGGCGGTGTGTTTGGGATCATTGTCATGCTGAAAGACCCAGCCACGTTTCATCTTCAATGCCCTTGCTGATGGAAGGAGGTTTTCACTCAAAATCTCACGATACATGGCCCCATTCATTCTTTCCTTTACACGGTTCAGTCGTCCTGGTCCCTTTGCAGAAAAACAGCCCCAAAGCATGATGTTTCCACCCCCATGCTTCACAGTAGGTATGGTGTTCTTTGGATACAACTCAGCATTCTTTGTCCTCCAAACACGACGAGTTGAGTTTTTACCAAAAAGTTCTATTTTGGTTTCATCTGACCATATGACATTCTCCCAATCCTCTTCTGGATCATCCAAATGCACTCTAGCAAACTTCAGACGGGCCTGGACATGTACTGGCTTAAGCAGGGGGACACGTCTGACACTGCAGGATTTGAGTCCCTGGCGGCGTAGTGTGTTACTGATGGTAGGCTTTGTTACTTTGGTCCCAGCTCTCTGCAGGTCATTCACTAGGTCCCCCCGTGTGGTTCTGGGATTTTTGCTCACCGTTCTTGTGATCATTTTGACCCCACGGGGTGAGATCTTGCGTGGAGCCCCAGATCGAGGGAGATTATCAGTGGTCTTGTATGTCTTCCATTTCCTAATAATTGCTCCCACAGTTGATTTCTTCAAACCAAGCTGCTTACCTATTGCAGATTCAATATATAATATACTTTTTTCCCCCCACTGTATTAGCGCAGATCTCAGACTGAAGGTTTTAGGTATATCATATGGGTGTAATATTGTCCTATCTAGTGATACATCAATGCTGAAGTTCAATACACGACAGAGGGACTTCCCATGGCATTTTGTCAGCAGGTAACTCCCATGCAAATAACTGCCGGTCTCACGGTAATTGTCCGTTAATTAACGTAAACATGTTCGGCATCTCCGGGCTTTTATGCAACTTTAGTTGTGATACAAACGTTAGGCTAAATGTTTTGATTTCTAATACATTCAAAGGCTGCATGATGCCGCATCATTGATGCGACTAATGATGATTTGAAAAAACAATTTGCATGAAAGGCGTGCGCTCTGCTCTCTTTCTTGCGCAGGCTGCATGCACACATTTCATCAGTCTCTCATTCACAATTTGTCAAGCACTTGATAATATTCTCACCCATTAGACTATTCTCAATGTAATATGGTCTTTACATAGAGCCTACTAATATATGTGTGGAATTATTTTGGGTTTGGAATGGCCCACAAAAAAAAAACATGTCATCCGTAGCCTGCACTCAAATAGCGAATGGAGGAAGCGCTTCCAGCGGTTACGTTTTTAATATGCCACACTCTAAAAAACGATGGGCTAAAAACAACCAAATGTAGGTTATTTGGTATCCCAGCACTGGTTAAATAGTGGACAGAATACGTTGGGTTATTTTGACCCAGGCATTTGAGTTGCGTGAATAACCCAACATGTTGGGTGGTTGGGATTACCCAAACATAGGTTAATTTAACCATCAATTGGATATTTTTACTCTCATGCTTGGTTGACCTAGCAGCTGGTTCTTTTTTAAATTAAATCCTTAGGTTATTTCCAGTAGGCGTGGCTTATTAGGGGTGTGGGTTTCAGCTAGATCTTATTGGCGACCCGTGAGCATAAATGTCATTCCTGTTCATCATGTTAAGGTTACATAATGCAAATTCAAATGTTCCTTACATTTTGGGCATTTAACACGTTCTTCTATAACATTAAGATTAATTATTAGATATTATAATAAGGTATACCCCCTTATTGTATCCCAACAATGGGATTTAAATAGGCTTTTAGGGAACTTACACACTGCTGTAAGCCTCATTGAAGCTACAAAAATGTAAATGTTCAACCTTAACATGTGATAACTATAGATGGGTTAGCTGACAATGTCACAAAAAAATGTGCGTGCTTCCATGGGACGTGTTGTTGTGATTCTGGATGGCCAGATTGCTAGCAAGAATGACAAGAAACTGCCATTTGGGGAATCGTAAGTGGCTTGTTTCAGCTCAATTCATCTTGTTCTTGATACCATGTCTTGCTTTGAGGTGTTTTGACTGATTTCATGTCAATGCTAATATGGCAAAAATTCGCTAGCTAGCTAACCAACAACTGTAACAATGTATTTGAGAGACAACAAGTGCTCATTGTGCAAATGTATTTATGTTTCAATAAACATTGGAGACTAAATATAGCTTAAATGTTGTAAACGATCTAAGCCAACACTGTCTGTTTTGCCCAATAGTTGTGCACGCGTCGGTTTCGTAGCTAAACAACCAACCAGTCTACAGAACAGAACAGATGAACAGGAATGGCATTTACTCTCCTGGGTGGCTAAAAATAACTATCTGAAAGCCACGCACCTACTAAACTATGCCTCTAGTCTATAGCTCAGTAACCCAGCAACAATAACCCAGCATCAATAACCCAGCAGTTTTTAAAGAAAACAACCCAACTAAGTGACCAAACGCCTGTAACCCAGCAGTTTTTTTTGTGCAGGTAGTCTACACCGGTTGTAAAGTGAATGTATGTGCTTAATTTTAAGAATTGAGCAATAAATAGGCTATAGCAGCATGAGAAAGCTTGGATCCTCTTACAAGAACTTCACTATGCTCTGTAGGCTTTGGGATCTCCAACCCTGTTCCAGGGGTCCTAGGCTTATAGTCTATGCGTAAAGTTATTTGGCCACTTTATCTTATCAAAACATATAGGCCTATGGGCTAGGCTACATGATTCATGCGACTATCATTTGAATAAGTCGCAAAAAAATGCATGCGCTGATTCTTGCCTTAGACTGCACACACTGGGCATCATTCACTGGATAATATTCTCACCCATCAGACTATTCTCAATTTAATCTTGTCATGTCATATTATATGTGTAAAATTAGTTTTGATTTAGAATGGGCCATTATCATGCACCTGTCGGAACAGGGGCAAAACAAAATAATCATCCATATGCACTTGAATAGCGAAAGGAGGACGCTTTTCTCGCGGTTCATTTTCATGCCAACCAGGTAGGCTACTCCGGTTGTAAAGCGAAGCAATGTGCTTAATATTAGGAAAGTTGAGGAATAAATATAGTAGGCCTAGCCTATAGCTGCTGGGACCCTCCTCTTCTTAATAGAGGCCATCAAAACTCTGTTGTTTTCTCAAGCAATTGCATAGCATAGCCTATAGAAATGCAACATGGGCTTATAGGAACACTTATTTCATTCCATCCATCAACCAGCTATGAGGAGCTGGCTCTTGCTGTGCAACAGGTGAGCCTATTCCGTTCAAACTCTGAATGCCAGGGCTCTCATGAAGTGTTTGATTTGATTTTCAATTGCATTGATGTCAGAGTGATTAGAGGGACAATAGAGCGCTGAGTACCAGGCCATTAGCGACTGGCAGTTAGCAAGTTTGGTAGGCTACCGAAGACCATCAGTGGCATCAGGGCGCAGTTTTGGAGAAGCCTAGTTACTAATTTGACTGTGGTCATGACTAGTGATTGCCGGTATGGCAGTAAAACAGTCACCGCAACAGCCCTACTATCATATGTTATGACTTTCCTTGAAATGACTCATGGGATATATGGAGGACAAAGGGCAGAATGTGAGGTAACCACCATGACTAATATTTGCTTGTGTGGCCCAGAAGATTGCCTAGTTCTATGAATTGTTAATGAGCTCTATGAACCATGAAGTCCACTAGTGTATTCAGTTATTTATGGATGGCATTAAAACAGTTTGAAGCCTGTCTGGAAAAAAAAAACTGTTTGGATAAATACAATTTGTCAGTATTTGACAACTTTGTTTCCGAGAACACAGCTTCTGTTATTGATTTTATCCAACTCACAATGTTCATGTTGACCTCTGGGTCCAGTCTTTTCCTATCTTGCAGCGAGGATCTCTGACACTGGACCGCCCCGGTGGTCAGGAAGGCCACTAAAAGTAGAACCCACACCATCTTCACTCTGAAAAACATAATACATGTGTTATAAACCTCTAAAAATAGAAAAAGCCTTTTTCTGACCACATTAGGTCAAGACCTATGCAGCAGCACACACCTGGAAATATAAATATGAGCATCAACCAGAGGTCAAAGGGCACTTAATACATTAAATGTATCATTGCAATCCTAATCTCTCGTCGAGATAATAATAATGCAAGATTTCAATTCTGGGTTAAACGAGATTATTGCAATCCAAATGTTGCTCTCTACTTGCTACTGTTTGGATTTCACAGATGCTAATCAGCTACTTTCTCTTCTCTTTACCATGAGATATGGCCTGATACTGTGTTCGCATTTGATACAAGTTCAAAGTTAGCCATATGTTTGTGTAATATCAAAATATTTTGGCTATTGTGGCAAGAATTAGCACTAAATAGATCAATGCTACAAATATTGCTATTGAGTGGCTCCAGACTGACATTGCACTATTGATTGAGTCTCAGACGATTAGTTAGAGAACAACAAACTTGCATATAAGGTTGCCTTTGCAGTCAATAGAGTAAAAAAGCATTTTAATTAGTTGTTGTGAAGAGCTTAAGATACATTTGGGAATAGTGTAGATATAACACCAGGATTTTCATGAGGAAGTTAAAGTAACAAACTCTCGCCTTTACAAAAGGAAAATGTTAATTAGACCTATCCTATGCGTTGAATAGAAGTAAGCTAGGCTTCAGTAGCCGGATCGCTCCGGCCAAACTAGCGTTTCTTCTCCATGATGAATGAATGGAGCGATCATAGAGCAGCGGAATTAAATTTAGGACGAGTAGTCAGACATAAGCTTCATTCAGTAGGCTATTGTTGACATTCATTCCACACAGTGGTCTGCACTCTGTCACTGACAACTTCTAAACTATTGCAACACAGGCCTATATACGTCGGTGATATATGGAAAATGCAAACATTTTTATCAGCTATCAAATAGCCTATATCCCCAAAAATCTAACACTTACCCGGACAACTTCTGAGTAGAATTAGAACACTGTTTTATTCTTGGTTGGCCGACGAAAGACGAACAAGTCACAAGAGGTGCCGCGTGATACATCGTCAGAGGCATCCCTGGGGTGTAATCATTACTCAAGTTACAAAACGTTCTGTTTCGCAAGGAACACCAGTGTTTCTATTGGACAGATTCAGTTAGGTCCCGCCCTATTTGCTGAACCTGTCCAATATAGACGCTCGTTTTCGTTGCGTTTTGCATGTGTTTGGAGTAACGATTACACCCCCTGCTGGTTTTGTTGTGGATTGGTTGAAAGGCTTGTATCAATCACAATGGGCATTGGGGAAAGATTAGCGGGTGATTAGTAGCCTAATTAGTCAGTCATGTTGATGTAATTATACTGTTATCAGTGCAATTTTGTAATAAACTAAGTCGTTTATTTATTTTTGTTCAATAAACTGTTTGTCTATGCATACAACCAATGGAACATTTTGGTCGGCCAACAGCCATTCATGTTTACAATCATATGATAGAGGTGAAATCTGTAGCGTTACCAAATACGCTCAAAGAAGCTTGGTGAGGTGAAACGTTATTTGTCAACGAAAGTTGTTTATAGTTCAAGCGATAATGTCTCGAGTTCTTATAGTTGGTGCAGGTTTGACAGGCAGTTTATGCGCTTGTCTTCTGCGAAGAGAAATGCCAAACAAAGTTGTTGTTGTCTGGGATAAATCGCGAGGAGCAGGTAAGTTTGTGTCAGTTGCCGACAAAGTTCTTACATTGTATCTAAATAAATCAAAATGTATACGAAGCAGAAGCGTAGCCTACTTGCTACACAAGGCAATAATGAGTGTCACATAATGTTGCAATGCACAGAATGTACAGTGCATTGGCCAAATGCAGTTGTCATACAAAATTATATAATTACAATGTCGGCTGCGTGCTTATTATTCCATAGAGAACAGTAAAAATGAGAGGGTCAAATTCAGTGGCGTAGCGCAGTTAAGCGCCCCCCGTCCCCCACATTGAGGTATAGGGCCCTGTAATGCCCGAGGAAATTACATATCAACAGACAGACTGGAAAACGTAACAAATGATAATAGTTTACTGACGAGATTGAATGAGTTATTATGTATACATTTTTTGCCATGGGGCAGAGAGAAAAATGTCCAGTTTTAATAGCTAATCGCGCATACTATACTGAACAAAAATATAAATGCAACAATTTCAAATATTTTACTGAGTTACAGTTCATATAAGGAAATCAGTCAACTGAAATAAATAAATTAGGCCCTAATCTATGGATTTCACATGACTGGGAATACAGATGTGCATATGTTGGTCACAGATACCATAAAAAAGGTAGGGGCGTGAATTAAAACCACCATTTGCCTCATGCAGTACAACACATCTCCTTCGCATAGAGTTGATCAGGCTGTTGATTGTGGCCTGTTGTCAAGGTCCTCTTCAATGGCTGTGCGAAGTTGCTGGATATTGGCGGTAACTGGAACACGCTGTTGTACACGTCGATCAAGAGCATCCCAAACATGCTCAGTGGGTAACTACATGTAAATGTAACATGTCTGGTGAGTATGCAGGCCATGGAAAAACTGGGACATTTTCAGCTTCCAGGAATTGTGTACAGATCCTTGCGACATGGGGCTGTGCATTATCATGCTGAAACATTAGGTGATGTCGGCAGATGGATGGCACACAATGGGCCTCAGGATCTCGTCATGATATCTCTGCATTCAAATTGCCATTGATAAAATGTAATTGTTTTCGTTGTCCGTAGCTTATGCCTGCCCATACCATAACCCCACCGCGACCATGGGGCACTCTGTTCACAATGTTGACATCAGCAAACCGCTCCCCCACACGAAGCCATACATGTGGTTGTAAGGCCGGTTGGACATACTGCCCATTTCTCTAAAACTATGTTTGGCTTATGGTAGGGAAATAAACATTCAATTATCTGGCAACAGCTCTGGTGGACATTTCTGCAGGCAGCATGCCAATTGCACACTCCCTAAACTTAAGACATCTGTAGCATTGTATTGTGTGACAAATCTGCACATTTTAGAGTGGCCTTTTATTATCCCCAGCACAAGGTGCACCTTTGTAATGATCATGCTGTTTAATCCGCTTCTTGATATGCCACACCTGTCAGGTGGATGGATAAAGTAATCCTTCTACCCCCCCCCCCCCCCCCCCCAAATTGTAAAGTGGTTATCCCACTGGCTATAGGGTGAACGCACCAATTTGTGAGTCGCTCTGGCTAGAGCGCTGCTAAATGACGTTATGTGCCTTGAGCAAGGCACTTAACCCTAATTGCTCCTGTAAGTCGCTCTGGATAAGAGCGTCTGCTAAATGACTAAAATATAAATGTAAAATTATCTTGGCGAAGGAGAAATGCTCACTAACAGGGATGTAAGCACATTTGTGCACAACATTTGAGAGAAATAAGCTTTTTGTGCGTATGAAACATTTCTGGGCTCTTTTATATCAGCTCATGAAACATGGGACCAACACTTTACATGTTGCGTTTATGTTTTTGTTCAGTGTATTTAACACATTTTTCCATGAGGCTGAGAGACAATGTTGCTATTTTAGAGCTCAGGGATTCTTGAAAGACGGGACAATCAACTTTTATCATACAAATATTTGTCTTCATATTAACAAAATGTTAAATATATATTTTGTTAGACTTAAGTATCAGCTGTCACACCATGTAAAGGAACAACCTCCTAATTTAGATTGATGTAAACTCCGTCAGACACCATAAAAGGCATTTCATTTTTTACTATTATTGTCCAAGTGTTTAAAGGCCTTGATTGTTTAATTCTAATATTAGATTATTCAAATATGTAATACAAATTTCCAAACTTATTTTTTGTTTTGTAACACTATTAAATGCTCCAGGGCTAATTTCCTTAGCATTTTGGCATGTTTTTCTAGATTTAGAACATAAAACAGCATTTATAAAGCAAACATTAGCCCTTAGGGCTAGCACAACACAATACTTCAATTGTTTAAGCATATGTTGTAGTGGTGTAAAGTACTTAAGTAAAAATAATGTAAAGTATTTTACTTAAGTCGTTTTTTTGGGGTATCTGTACTTTACCTGACTATTTAACTCTTACTTCACTACATTCCTAAAGAAAATAATGTACTTTTTACTCCATACATTTTTCCTTACACCCAAAAGTACTCATTTTTAAATGCTTAGCAGCAGGAAAATGGTCCAATTCACACACTTATCAAGAGAATATCCCTGGTCATCCCTACTGCCTCTGATCTGGCGGACTCACTAAACACAAATGCTTTGTTTGTAAATTATGTCTAAGTGTTGGAGTGTGCCCCTGGCTATCCGTAAATTAACAAAAACAAGTAAATTGTGCCTTCTGGTTTGCTTAATATGAGCAATTTTATATGATTTATAGTTTTACTTTTGATACTTAAGTATATTTAAAACCAATACTTTTACTCAAGTAATATTTTACTGGGTGACTTTCACTTTTACTTGATTCATTTTCTATTAAAGTATCTTTACTTTTACTCAAGAATGACAATTGGGTACTTTTTCCACCACTGATATGTTGCAGAACAGTATTAAAAATATTTATTCAGAATATTGACAAAAAAACGAGTTTAAGGGTTAGCCATCAGTGACGGAGTTGACAAGCCACTGACGGAGTTGACAATATATTTTTGCCTCTAAAAATAACATTTCAATACCAACATTTGTAAAGTATGGAAAATCATTCATTTGAAAATCCTGAATAAAAACAACCGTTCTATCAGATCTTTCAGCACTCTGACGGCGTTGACGTTAGACAACTGGTCAAATTGTGACACGTGGGATTTTTTCAAAATGTCCATCTCTCCTGCTCCTATCAGTGGCATCTCAGTACTTCAAATCAAAATCAAATCAAATGTTATTTGTCACGTGCCGAATACAACTGGTGTAGACTTTACCGTAAAATACTTATGAGCCCCCCCCAACAATACAGAGTTCAAAAAATATATAAAATAGTAACACAAGGAATAAAATAAAATACACAAGAATGGAGCTATATACAGGGAGTACCAGTACCAGATCAATGTGCAAAGGTATGAGGTATTTGAGGTAGATATGTACGTGAAGGCAGGGTAAAGTGACTAGGCGTCAGGATAGATAATAATAAGAGTAAAATAAATAACAGAGTAGCAGCAGCAAATGATGAGTGTAAAAGTGTGTGTGTTTGTGTGTGTATGGATGTGTGTTTGTGTTGTTGGTATGCATGCGTGTGTGTGGTGTGTATGTAGTAAATGTGTGTGGGTTTTGTGTGGGATTGTCAATGTAGTGTTTGTGAGTGTGTGTATATGGTTTGTATATATGGTCTAGTGAGTGTGCATAGGGTCAGTGCAGATAGTTTGGGTACCATTAATTGACTATTTAGCAATCTGGCTATCTATTTAGCAGTCTGATGGCTTGGGGGTAGAAGCTGTCTCGGAGCCTGTTGGTTTTTAGAAAGATATGTCACAAAATAATATTTGACCCTAATGTATAGGCTATATAACCCTAACCGGCAGGTAGCGCAGCGATTAGAGGCTAGCCAGCAACCGGAGGGTGGACGTTGTGCACAATTGACCAATAAAGTGATTGATCTATGTGTTTGCTGCTGTTGATCTGTAATTTGGGTAAATATCATTTCAATGTTTATACATGTTTATGTTTTCTTCGTGCCTTTTCTCATCTTTGTGTTGCAGGAGGTAGGATGTCCACCAGCAGAAGTCCGTCTGATGCCTCCTGTATAGTTGATCTTGGTGCACAGTACATTACTGCCACGCCCTACTACGCCCAAATGCATCACAAGTACAGTATTACACAATCAATGCATATCATGTCCCAAACCTCTCAAATCTGTTGTTCTAGGGTCTACCTATTACCTACAGCACCATAACCATTATGGCAATATGTTACTAGCATATATATATATATATATATATACACACAGTGGGGAGAACAAGTATTTGATACACTGCCGATTTTGCAGGTTTTCCTACTTACAAAGCATGTAGAGGTCTGTAATTTTCATCATAGGTACACTTCAACTGTGAGAGACGGAATCTAAAACAAACATCCAGAAAATCACATTGTATGATTTTAAAGTAATTAATTTGCATTTTATTGCATGACATAAGTATTTGATCACCTACCAACCAGTAAGAATTCCGGCTCTCACAGACCTGTTAGTTTTTCTTTAAGAAGCCCTCCTGTTCTCCACTCATTACCTGTATTAACTGCACCTGTTTGAACTATTTACCTGTATAAAAGACACCTGTCCACACACTCAATCAAACAGACTCTAACCTCTCCACAATGGCCAAGACCAGAGAGCTGTGTAAGGACATCAGGGATAAAATTGTAGACCTGCACAAGGCTGGGATGGGCTACAGGACAATAGGCAAGCAGCTTGGTGAGAAGGCAACAACTGTTGGTGCAATTATTCGAAAATGGAAGAAGTTCAAGATGACGGTCAATCACCCTCGGTCTGGGGCTCCATGCAAGATCTCACCTCGTGGGGCATCAATGATCATGAGGAAGGTGAGGGATCAGCCCAGAACTACACGGCAGGACCTGGTCAATGACCTGAAGAGAGCTGGGACCACAGTCTCAAAGAAAACCATTAGTAACACACTACGCCGTCATGGATTAAAATCCTGCAGCGCACGCAAGGTCCCCCTGCTCAAGCCAGCGCATGTCCAGGCCCGTCTGAAGTTTGCCAATGACCATCTGGATGATCCAGAGGAGGAATGGGAGAAGGTCATGTGGTCTGATGAGACAAATATAGAGCTTTTTGGTCTAAACTTCACTCGCCGTGTTTGGAGGAAGAAGAAGGATAAGTACAACCCCAAGAACACCATCCCAACCGTGAAGAATGGAGATGGAAACATCATTCTTTGGGGATGCTTTTCTGCAAAGGGGACAGGACGACTGCACCGTATTGAGGGGAGGATGGAGGGGGCCATGTATCGCGAGATCTTGGCCAACAACCTCCTTCCCTCAGTAAGAGCATTGAAGATGGGTCGTGGCTGAGTCTTCCAGCATGACAACGACCCGAAACACACATCTCAAGGTCCTGGAGTGGCCTAGCCAGTCTCCAGACCTGAACCCAATAGAAAATCTTTGGAGGGAGCTGAAAGTCCGTATTGCCCAGCGACAGCCCCGAAACCTGAAGGATCTGGAGAAGGTCTGTATGGAGGAGTGGGCCAAAATCCCTGCTGCAGTGTGTGCAAACCTGGTCAAGACCTACAGGAAACGTATGATCTCTGTAATTGCAAACAAAGGTTTCTGTACCAAATATTAAGTTCTGCTTTTCTGATGTATCAAATACTTATGTCATGCAATAAAATGCAAATTAATTACTTAAAAATCATACAATGTGATTTTCTGGATTTTTGTTTTAGATTCCGTCTCTCACAGTTGAAGTGTACCTATGATAAAAATTACAGACCTCTACATGCTTTGTAAGTAGGAAAACCTGCAAAATCGGCAGTGTATCAAATACTTGTTCTCCCCACTGTGTGTGTGTATATATATATATATATATATTTTTTTTTTACAACATTTTACCAATGATACTTGTTAGGGGAGCAACAAATGTGTCCATCCATTGGTTTCTGTTTGTTCTGTTAACTTTGAGCAAGTTATTCTTTGTGTTCCAAGATGGTTCTCATCATCATCATCATCATCATCATCATCATCTTCATCCCATTGTGTTTCAGCTTCTATGAAGAGCTGCTGGCCCATGGTGTTCTGAAGCCCCTGGTTTCCTCTGTGGAAGGGGAGGTGATGAAGGAGGGAGGCCAAAAAAACTATGTCAGTCCAACAGGAGTGTCCTCCATCGTCAAACATTTCCTCAAGCAGTCAGGTAGCCCTTTCTCCTACCCTTTTATCTTATATTGAAAGAGCACACGTTATGTCAGTCTCAAATATCTTTGACAAGGACCTTGTTGGATCATTTATTTTGTTTGCATCGTTTTCTGTTGAGTATTTCAAATGTTTTCCTTTTGTTCTTAATTAAACAAATATTTTTTTCATTAATAAATATAATTATTTGTATTAATAATATAATTTTTATTTTGTTTTGGCTCATGTCCTGAGTTTCATGTCCTTCCGTTCATCCAGCTTTCATTTGTTTGTCCAAGTTCCTAGAGAGCGAGGAGAGAATAAGGCCAGATTTCATAGGGTGATTTTATATTTTGTCTAAACCGTACTGAGTCCAGATAATGAAGGCCTAGCCCAACTAGACATCCAGGAGGGACAGTGCAGGATGTTGCTTTGACTTCAAAACTAAGGCTGTAAAGATGAAACCATTAATCAAACAGATTGATCAACTAATGCTTTAGTTGACAAGTTCTGAAAAAATATGAATCAGTTAATCCACATATAGCCTTTAACTTGGTCAATAATGATTAGGTCATTAACCCTGTTTCACCCCTACATAAGTGTCTATTTCAGTTAATCAAGATGAATGTCATACAAGATCAAAAAAGTGATAATAAATAATGTTATTGAAATTCAAAGATAGCAGAATGTCATATGAGGTCAAAGCCATGGAATGTCATACGAGGTTGAAGGTAGCAAGTCGTTAGCAGGCCAAACAAAGGAGGGCTATCTACAGTATTAACCACTCCAGGCCTTTTAGAATGAGTTATGAATGGAGGCCTGATATACTACCTCTCCACATCTGATTAATCAGTAGAGTTATCAACTAATAGGAAATAATCTACAAAACCTAATGGAACAATATTAGCAGATCAAATCACAACCCTCAGGCAACAACTGATATTTTATCTCCAGTCTCAACTAAAAGGTTGAGGGTTCTATTTTCTGGACCTCTATGATGCTCCTAACCTTGTTCTTGATCTTTAAAGAGACAAATTGTTTCTTTATACTGTAGTCTAATTCTGGAATGTACAACTCGGCGTCCCCAGGGAGAGGAGTTGTGCATCTTTGCTCTAATTCACTATCTCTTCCTGCGTTTTTTTTCTCCTCATTATCCGTAATTTGGGAACGGAATGAAGTGAGGTAGCATGCCGTTCTAGAACTCTCTTGGCACCACCATGTGCGCCAGAGAGTGTATGTAACCATATCCAAGATGTATGTATTATTAACCACAAAGTTGTAATCGTTTCCCCAGTGGTGCACAATCAAACGGCTTCTCTATATTTGACATCCTCTCTGGATTTCTTCCTTACCGACTCTCTTGCTTTCCTTATCTTCCTCCATCTGTCCCTGTCTTTCACTGCAACATTGCCAACTCTGCGTCTCCGCACCCAAGCAGGGGCAGAGGTGTTCTTTGACCACCACGTCACCCACATCTACCAGAAGGGCGCCAGCTGGGAGGTGTGTCGGAAGGGCGGGGCCCCGGAGCAGTTTGACGCTGTGGTCCTCACAATGCCAGTACCGCAGATCCTACAGCTGCAAGGAGACGTGGGCTCCTGTGAGTACTGATCTACCTACCTACCATCACCGAAACACACACATACTGTATGCATGGTTTGTCATTATACTTATACCAGAGCTACACAGCTTCAGTCTTTGAGGGCCAATGTATGAGAGGTGTTGGGTTTGCGCCAGACATAGCGTTTTCCTTGATGGCCAAAAAGCTCAATTTTAGTCTCATCTGACCAGAGTACCTTCTTCCATATGTTTGGGGAGTCTCCCACATGCCTTTTGGCGAACACCAAACGTGTTTGCTAATTTTTTTCTTTAAGCAATGGCTTTTTTCTGGCCACTCTTCCGTAAAACCCAGCTCTGTGGAGTGTATGTCACGCCCTGGCTCTGGGGACGCTTGTATGTTGAGCCAGGGTGTGAGTGTTCTTTGTGTTGTTCTAGTTTTGTGTTTCTAGGGTGTAGTTATTGTGTTTCTATGTTGGCCAGAGTGGTTCTCAATCAGAGGCAACGAGTGTCAGCTGTTGCTGGTTGTCTCTGATTGGGAACCATATTTAAACAGTCTGTTTTTCCACAGTGTTTGTGGGATCTTGTTCCTGTGTAGGTTTGTGTTTTGCACTAAGGACGTCACGTATTGATTTGTTATTTTGTTCGTGTGATTACTCTAAATATAAGTATGTTCACTTTCCACGCTGCGCCTTGGTCCTCTGTATCCGACGATCGTGACAGTGTACAGCTTAAAGTTGTCCTATGGACAGATACTCCAATCTCCGCTGTGGAGCTTTGCATCTCCTTCAGGGTTATCTTTGGTCTCTTTGTTGCCTCTCTGATTAATGCCCTCCTTGCCTGGTCTGTGAGTTTTGGTGGGCGGCCCTCTCTTGGCAGGTTTGTTGTGGTGCCATATTCTTTCAATTTTTTAATAATGGATTTAATGGTGCTCCGTGGAATGTTATTTTTTTTATAACCCTGATCTGTACTTCTCCACAACTTTGTCCCTGACCTGTTTGGAGAGCTCCTTGGTCTTCATGGTGCCGCTTGCTTGGTGGTGCCCCTTGCTTAGTGGTGTTGCAGACTGGGGCCTTTCAGAGCAGGTGTATATATACTGAGATCATGTGACAGATCATGTGACACTTAGATTGCACACAGGTGGACTTTATTTAACTAATTATGTGACTTCTGAAGGTAATTGGTTGCACCAGATCTTATTTAGGGGCTTCATAGCAAAGGGGGTGAATACATATGCACGCACCACTTTTGTTATTAATTTTTTAAATTTCACTTCACCAATTTTGACTATTTTGTGTATGTCCATTACATGAAATCCAAATAAAGATCCATTTAAATTACAGGTTGTAATGCAACAAAATAGGAAAAACGCCAAGGGGGATGAATACTTTTGCAAGGCACTGTATATGATCAGGACTATTTTCTAAGTAAAATGATGTATTTTATTGGCTCTGTGGCTGTGGACACCAAGGTTAAGGAAACTGTAATTTGGGTGAACTATACCTTTAACAGTTTCCTGTCCGTAAATCACTATGGGTGGGATTGTCAGGGGAGGGGGCAGGATGTTTGAGTCACAGAGCTGCTAGGGTTTCAGACCTGTCAATCAATCACTGTGGGTGGGACTTTGAGGGAACGCGGTAGATTAGTAATCTTGTCAGAAATACTTGTCTAGATAGTCTACTCTTTCAATTTAGTTTACAAAAACCTAAGAAGAAAAGTTGTGTTCTGTCAAGTAAACATGGATTACCTGTTGAGAAACAATATAGAATAGCAGAATTTAAAAAAGGCTAAAAACTGCAGGGGGAGGATCCCCAGATCCCCCGCCAGATCCCCCACTTTTATACAAGGTCAGGTACCCACGAATAGACCTACAGGTATGATTGAAGAATCAGGTGATAAACATGTGCTTTGCTCTACAGAAAGCAGCAGTTGACTGCTCCATTGTCAACACTTTAATCAAATCAGTAGGCCTATATAAATATATTTTAAAATACTATCATTAGCTTTTATAACCTTCAATATTTTTTATTTGATCATATTTTGGACCAGATTGAGGCTCTCTCTCCATTTCCTATTGTTCCTGTTAAACATCTACAGTGGGGAAAAAAAGTATTTAGTCAGCCACCAATTGTGCAAGTTCTCCCACTGAAAAAGATGAGAGAGGCCTGTAATTTTCATCATAGGTACACGTCAACTATGACAGACAAAATGAGGAAAAAAAATCCAGAAAATCACATTGTAGGATTTTTTAATGAATTTATTTGCAAATTATGGTGGAAAATAAGTATTTGGCCAATAACAAAAGTTTCTCAATACTTTGTTATATACCCTTTGTTTGCAATGACACAGGTCAAACGTTTTCTGTAAGTCTTCACAAGGTTTTCACACACTGTTGCTGGTATTTTGGCCCATTCCTCCATGCAGATCTCCTCTAGAGCAGTGATGTTTTGGGGCTGTCGCTGGGCAACACAGACTTTCAACTCCCTCCAAAGATTTTCTATGGGGTTGAGATCTGGAGACTGGCTAGGCCACTCCAGGACCTTGAAATGCTTCTTACGAAGCCACTCCTTCGTTGCCCGGGCGGTGTGTTTGGGATCATTGTCATGCTGAAAGACCCAGCCACGTTTCATCTTCAATGCCCTTGCTGATGGAAGGAGGGTTTCACTCAAAATCTCACGATACATGGCCCCATTCATTCTTTCCTTTACACGGATCAGTCGTCCTGGTCCCTTTGCAGAAAAACAGCCCCAAAGCATGATGTTTCCACCCCCATGCTTCACAGTAGGTATGGTGTTCTTTGGATGCAACTCAGCATTCTTTGTCCTCCAAACATGACGAGTTGAGTTTTTACCAAAAAGTTATATTTTGGTTTCATCTGACCATATGACATTCTCCCAATCCTCTTCTGGATCATCCAAATGCACTTCAGACGGGCCTGGACATGTACTGGCTTAAGCAGGGGGACACGTCTCTCACTGCAGGATTTGAGTCCCTGGCGGCGTAGTGTGTTACTGATGGTTGGCTTTGTTACTTTGGTCCCAGCTCTCTGCAGGTCATTCACTAGGTCCCCCCGTGTGGTTCTGGGATTTTTGCTCACCGTTCTTGTGATCATTTTGACCCCACGGGGTGAGATCTTGCATGGAGCCCCAGATCGAGGGAGATTATCAGTGGTCTTGTATGTCTTCCATTTCCTAATAATTGCTCCCACAGTTGATTTCTTCAAACCAAGCTGCTTACCTATTGCAGATTCAGACTTCCCAGCCTGGTGCAGGTCTACAATTTTGTTTTTGGTGTCCTTTGACAGCTCTTTGGTCTTGGCCATAGTGGAGTTTGGAGTGTGACTGTTTGAGGTTGTGGACAGGTGTCTTTTATACTGATAACAAGTTCAAACAGGTGCCATTAATACAGGTAATGAGTGGAGGACAGAGGAGCCTCTTAAAGAAGAAGTTACAGGTCTGTGAGAGCCAGAAATCTTGCTTGTTTGTGGGTGACCAAATACTTATTTTCCACCATAATTTGCAAATAAATTCATAAAAAAATCCTACAATGGGATTTTCTGGATTTTTTTTTCTCAATTTGTCTGTCATTGTTGACGTGTACCTATGATGAAAATTACAGGCCTCTCTCATCTTTTTAAGTGGGAGAACTTGCACAATTGGTGGCTGACTAAATACTTTTTTTCCCCACTGTATATCAAATGTTTCCATAATCTATCTGCAGATAATCGCCAAAAAGCAGTAGTAGCCTACCAGTATGCAAATTAGGGAGCCAAATGAACCCATCACTAGGCTACACTGACGATTCACTTTAGCGGTCACTGGTAAGTCTCGACGTGGGCTTCGAATCCTAGGAAAATACAAACAAGATCTTTTGGTTTACTTTAAAAAAATAAATAAATATGTTAATGTGTTGAAAATTCCAAATTGTTTGCATAGTCAATTTACACACAGCTCTGTCACACACACTTACCCCACCAGACATGCCACCAGGGGTCTTTTCATAGTCCCTAAATCCAGAACAAATTCAAGAAAGCGTACAGTATTATATAGAGCCATTATTGCATGGAACTCCGTTCCATCTCATATTGCTCAAATGAACAGCAAACCTGGTTTAAAAAAACAGATAAAGCAACACCTCACGGCACAACGCCTCTCCCCTATTTGACCTAGATAATAATAATAATAATAATAATATGCCATTTAGCAGACGCTTTTATCCAAAGCGACTTACAGTCATGCGTGCATACATTTTTGTGTATGGGTGGTCCCGGGGATCGAACCCACTACCTTGGCGTTACAAGCGCCGTGCTCTACCAGCTGAGCTACAGAGGACCACTAGATAGTTTGTGTGTATGTATTGATATGTAGGCTACATGTTCTTGTCTATTAACGTTCTGTATTATGTCATGTTTCATGTTTTGCAACAGCTAATGGGGATCCTAATAAAATACCATTGTCCTGATGTGATATACAGTATACAAAACATTAAGAACACCTGCTCTTTCCATGACATAGACTATTCAGGTTAAAGCTATGATCCCTTATTGATGTCACTTGTTAAATCCACTTCAATCAGTGTAAATGAAGGGGAGGAGACCGGTTAAATAAATATTTTTAAGCCTTGAGACATGGATTGGGTATGTGTGCCATTCAGAGGGTGAATGGGCAAGACAAAAGATTTATGTGCCTTTTGAACAGGGTATGGTAGTAGGTTTCAGCCGCACCGGTTTGTGTCAAGAACTGCACCGCAGCTGGGTTTTTCACGCTCAACAGTTTCCCATGTGTATCAAGAATGGGCCACCACCCAAAGGACATCCAGCCAACTTGACACAACTGTGGGAAGCATTGGAGTCAACATGGGCCAGCATCCCAATGGAACGCTTTCGACACCTTGTAGAGTAGCCGGCTGACAATGTCTGTTATCGGCTGTTTAGCCGACGGCTGTCGCTTAGGGAAAACACTGCGCATTGAAGCTGTTCTGGAGGCTCGTGTTGGCCCAACACCCTATTAAGAAACTTTATTTTGGTGTTTCCTTTATTTGGGCAGTTACCAGTA